AGATGTGTGTGACACAGTGCGTTCTAATCGTAAACATATGCCCAGGCTCAACGCAGGTGCTCATGGTGATGACGTGCAGGTGTTTACTGCCAATGACATCATGGCATTACAGTGGCATGACAAACGAGATGTCACATTGTTGACAACCATTCACCGTAACGAAATGCAAGACAGTGGCATAGTTGATCGAGTGACTAATGAACGTATTCGAAAACCAATGACAGTGATTGATTATACATAAACATGCGCTTGGTTGACAAATGTGACATGCAGATTGGCTTTGTTGATTGTGTTTGTAAAAGTTACAAGTGGTACATGAAACTTTTCTTCCATCTCATGGACATTTCAATGCTCAATGCATATATGTACCAAATGAAGACTGGCAACAGACCACCATATGGTGAATTTTGTTTGTCTGTTGTCAGACAACTCATAATGAAGTACCAGGTAACAACACCTGCTATACAACAAGGTCCTCGAATTCCTGAGAATATACCCAAGCGTTTGAGGAGAGAAGGTGATCATTTCATAATACAGCTTCCTTCAACTCAGAAGAAATTTGCTCAGAAGAGATGTGTTGTCTGTGCACAAACAAAACGATGGCAACAAAGACGCAAAGACACTCGGTTTATGTGTGAGGAATGTAAGGTACCTCTGTGCATGGTGCCTTGTTTCAAGGAGTTCCACAAGCTCCAGCAGTTCTAAAACCATGTTCAGTGATTGTAAATATGTAAATATATGATAGAACATTAGTATTATACAAGATTTGTGCATGTTTATTGTAATAAACAAAAGTGGTAAACAATAATATGACAACTTTAGTGTGGTTATTGTGTTCAATACAGTGAGTTAATATTTTTTTTTTTTTTTTTTTCAACAAGTTGGCCGTCTCCCACCGAGGCAGGGTGACCCAAAAAAGAAAGAAAATCCCCAAAAAGAAAATACTTTCATCATCATTCAACACTTTCACCACACTCACACATTATCACTGCTTTTGCAGAGGTGCTCAGAATACAACAGCTTAGAAGCATATACGTATAAAGATACACAACATATCCCTCCAAACTGCCAATATCCCAAACCCCTCCTTTAAAGTGCAGGCATTGTACTTCCCATTTCCAGGACTCAAGTCCGACTATATGAACATAACCGGTTTCCCTGAATCCCTTCACTAAATATTACCCTGCTCACACTCCAGCAGATCATCAGGTCCCAAGTATCATTCGCCTCCATTCACTCCTATCTAACACGCTCATGCACGCTTGCTGGAAGTCCAAGCCCCTAGCCCACAAAACCTCCTTTACCCCCTCTTTCCAACCCTTTCGAGGACGACTCCTACCCCTCCTTCCTTCCCCTATAGATTTATATGCTTTCCATGTCATTCTACTTTGATCCATTCTCTCTAAATGACCAAACCACCTCAACAACCCCTCTTCTGCCCTCTGACTAATGCTTTTATTAACTCCACACCTTCTCCTAATTTCCACACTCCAGATTTTCTGCATAATATTTACACCACACATTGACCTTAGACAGGACATCTCCACTGCCTCCAACCGTCTCCTCGCTGCTGCATTTACCACCCAAGCTTCACATCCATATAAGAGTGTTGGTACTACTATACTTTCATACATTCCCTTCTTTGCCTCCATAGATAACATTTTTTGACTCCACATATACCTCAACGCACCACTCACCTTTTTTCCCTCATCAATTCTATGATTAACCTCATCCTTCATAAATCCATCCGCCGACACGTCAACTCCCAAGTATCTGAAAACATTCACTTCTTCCATACTCCTCCTCCCCAATTTGATATCCAATTTTTCTTTATCTAAATCATTTGATACCCTCATCACCTTACTCTTTTCTATGTTCACTTTCAACTTTCTACCTTTACACACATTCTCAAACTCATCCACTAACCTTTGCAATTTTTCTTTAGAATCTCCCATAAGCACAGTATCATCAGCAAAAAGTAACTGTGTCAATTCCCATTTTGAATTTGATTCCCCATAATTTAATCCCACCCCTCTCCCGAACACCCTAGCATTTACTTCTTTTACAACCCCATCTATAAATATATTAAACAACCATGGTGACATTACACTTCCCTGTCTAAGACCTACTTTTACCGGGAAGTATTCTCCCTCTCTTCTACACACCCTAACCTGAGCCTCACTATCCTCATAAAAGCTCTTTACAGCATTTAGTAACTTACCACCTATTCCATATACTTGCAACATCTGCCACGTTGCTCCTCTATCCACTGTATCATATTTTTTTTTTTTTTTTTTTTCAACAAGTCGGTCGTCTCCCACCGAGGCAGGGTGACCCAAAAAAAAAAAAAAAGAAAGAAAATCCCCAAAAAGAAAATACTTTCATCATCATTCAACACTTTCACCACACTCACACATTATCACTGCTTTTGCAGAGGTGCTCAGAATATAACAGTTTAGAAGCATATACGTATAGAGATACACAACATATCCCTCCAAACTGCCAATATCATATGCCTTTTCTAAATCCATAAATGCAATAAAAACTTCCCTACCTTTATCTAAATACTGTTCACATATATGCTTCAATGTAAACACTTGATCTACACATCCCCTACCCACTCTGAAGCCTCCCTGCTCATCCGCAATCCTACATTCTGTCTTACCTCTAATTCTTTCAATTATAACCCTACCGTATACTTTTCCTGGTATACTCGGTAAACTTATTCCTCTATAATTTTTACAATCTCTTTTGTCCCCTTTCCCTTTTTATAAAGGGACTATACATGCTCTCTGCCAATCCCTAGGTACCTTCCCCTCTTTCATACATTTATTAAACAAAAGTACCAACCACTCCAACACTATATCCCCCCTGCTTTTAACATTTCTGTCATGATCCCATCAGTTCCAGCTGCTTTACCCCCTTTTCATTCTACGTAATGCCTCACGTATCTCCACCACATTTACATTCTGCTCTTCTTCACTCCTAAAAGATGGTATACCTCCCTGGCCAGTGCATGAAATTACCGCCTCCCTTTCTTCCTCAACATTTAAAAGTTCCTCAAAATATTCTCGCCATCTACCTAATACCTCCCTCTCCCCATCTACTAACTCCCCTACTCTGTTTTTAACTGACAAATCCATACTTTCCCTTGGCTTTCTTAACTTGTTTAACTCACTCCAAAATTTTTTCTTATTTTCAATAAAATTTCTTGACAGTGCCTCTCCCACTCTTTCATCTGCTCTCCTTTTGCACTCTCTCACCACTCTCTTCACCTTTCTTTTACTCTCCATATACTCTGCTCTTCTTATAATACTTCTGCTTTGTAAAAACCTCTCGTAAGCTACCTTTTTCTCTCTTATCACACCCTTTACTTCATCATTCCACCAATCACTCCTCTTTCCTCCTGCCCCCACCCTCCTATAACCACAAACTTCTGCCCCACATTCTAATACTGCATTTTTAAAACTATTCCAACCCTCTTCAACCCCCCCCCCCACTACTCATCTTTGCACTAGCCCACCTTTCTGCCAATAGTCGCTTATATCTCGCCCGAACTTCCTCCTCCCTTAGTTTATACACTTTCACCTCCCTCTTACTTGTTGTTGCCACCTTCCTCTTTTCCCATCTACCTCTTACTCTAACTGTAGCTACAACTAAATAATGATCCGATATATCAGTTGCCCCTCTATAAACATGTACATCCTGGAGCCTACCCATCAACCTTTTATCCACTAATACATAATCTAACAAACTACTTTCATTACATGCTACATCATACCTTGTATATTTATTTATCCTCTTTTTCATAAAATATGTATTACTTATTACCAAATTTCTTTCTACACATAGCTCAATTAAAGGCTCCCCATTTACATTTACCCCTGGCATCCCAAATTTACCTACTACTCCCTCTATAACATTTTTACCCACTTTAGCATTGAAATCCCCAACCACCATTACTCTCACACTTGATTCAAAACTCCTCATGCATTCACTCAACATTTCCCAGAATCTCTCTCTCTCTCCTCTACACTTCTCTCTTCTCCAGGTGCATACACGCTTACTATAACCCACTTTTCACATCCAATCTTTATTTTACTCTACTTAATCCTTGAATTTATACATTTGTAGTCCCTCTTTTCCTGCCATAGCTTATCCTTCATAGTTTATATATATACATTATATACAGTATTGGTCTCTCAGGCCCCAAATGTTAGTAGGAAAAGAAAAAAATTAGAAAAGAAAAGAAAAAACTACAAAAAACGTTAAATAAAGTAATGTGCGTATGTGGAAATCGCCGATGTTGCCGCCATCAGGTCATTTTGGGTCAACTTCTCGGCACTATCTCGGTAAGTACTGATCAGAATTTTTTTTTTTTTTTTTTGTCTTACCTTCACAAAAATATACTCATTAATTCTGTAAGAATTTTTTTTTTTTCTCAAAATTTCTTGGACAGTGGAGCACCACTTCAGATTTTGGCCTTGGACCCTGAAGGGGTTAAGGGTCTAAGGTGGGTGACTGTGGTTGAGCCCAAGGCACAAATACCATAGGTGAGGTAAGGATATATTAGAGAGTGGTGCAGGGTAAGGAGAGTCGTTTGTGGTACATATTATTATAATCAAAAAGAAGTGCTAAGCCTTGTAGTACATAGTATCGTATCTTGGAAAGGATCCCTACTGATTTGGAAATTTTCTTGGCTATGTGATGGGTATGGACTTTCCAGTACCTCCACCTACAACTCCCCACTAAACATTTTATTAATTAATTCGTAACTGCCAAGTTCATTTCCTCTTCAGGCTTTAACATCTTATAGTACCTTTTTTTTGGCTTGTTTTCTTAGATACTTATGACTTTGTCATTTATTACTCTTCACATTTAAACTCGCTCACCCTTTTCAACTTGTTATTATTACAATCATAATTAAGCACTAAACCCACTAGTGCTAGGAATTCCAGCTTCCTTTTATGCATTACATTAAACCAGATTTCTGATGATCCTTTTATTACATTAAAAATTAGTTCTTTCTGAAATCCATACTGCAAGTACACACTCCAACCCCATATTTTTTTTTTTTTTTTTTTGTCACTGTACAGTATATAGAAGTGATTACCAGCCTCACTTTCTTATTTATCTTTCCTATAAATGGCTTTTGTATACTTTGATTTTTAAATATGAAAATATGTATAGTATATATTTCAAGTATAGTTTTTTTTTTATTAACAAATAAATGCATTGTGTTAAGAGGAGGCAACAACATTGGTAATTTTTTTTATATCACTAGGCCCAAGTCCACAGCATCCACCAATCACAGTTGCTCCAAGTGTAAGCCATGATTTAACGTCGTCAGCACAAGACCATTCAGAACCGTACCTCCATCTGAAACAAATAAATCATTTTACCCTCATAATATTGCAATGAATAAAATTTTGTATGTTGTACAAGGTTCAATGAGTCAATTAATTATACCTAATATAAAATATCACTCGTATTGTTCTACAGTAGCTCCTTCCCTCAAAGGAGGCAGCTCTTGATCCAAGGAATTGGAACTGACCTCCCCTTCCTTGCATCAAACATGATTGCCTCCCATTCCTTCTAGGTGCTATACAACCCCTATAGGTTTAGCATTCTGCTATGAATGTAATAATAATCTGCCAACTAAAATACACTGATTATAAAAAGCACTATACATATATTGATGGTATAGGAGTCATTTATTTTTTGATGCATCAAATTAAATTATTATGAATATTCATGGAATAGTAGTACAGGGCCTGGGAATTGGTGATCATATTTGATCTGAAGGGAAGGTAGTTCTAATTCCTTGGATCAAAAACCTTTCACCTGCATCAACCTCATTTCTCTCACTGTGAAGGGTAAACTTGTACTACTAGAACTAAATGAGCCTTAACATAATCACAAGACTTCATAACATTAAAGTTAAATTTATAAGTGAATGCACAAGAAAATATCTACAGGACGGGTGGAAGTTTTCACGAGGAAACTGTAGCAAACCTGCTAAATGTAATTAGGTACCTATTTGTAATTATCTATTTGTGGCTACATGAGCTACAATGGTGGTGTCCTTTTGTCATTATTTTGTATAATGTTTAAATTACCAATGATAGAAGCACTACCTGGAGGCAAATGGTGTAAAGCTGACAAGAGGTGAAAGACAACTGAAAAAAGGAACTTCATTGAGACGTTCTGCCTGTGGAATTGGCTTCTTCAATCAATACACAAGGATGCATAACAAAAATTTATATAAGAGTAGACAGGCGATTGGCCAGGCCAGTGAGGTCACCATGTGGGTGAATTGCAAGATGGTGTACACAGGTAGGTTTGCCAGGTCAGGTCCTGGCCCAGGTCTTCTCCATGCAGTGACCCACCATGCATGATGGGAGCACTGCAGGAGGCCTACCAGTCCTTCCAATGATCTGTTTATGTAAGATGAGTTGGGTTGCAGGTTTGGCTAAATTGAAAACTTCTTGATTATATTAGATTGTATTTGTGTACAGATTAGTATAGCTTCCAAGCGTCATGATTTGTCCTATTTCCTTTATCACCAGCTTTGTGTCCTTCCTAGGTATCAGATGTGCAATCTGGTCCCTATGTGTCAAGCAAGCATTATTCACAAGTCTTACAGGCATGCTGGCATTCTCACAACCTGGTCTGTAGCTATGGAAATCTCTTCTATGTATTTCTGGTCATGACTGCCACATAAAATGTTTTACACATGTATAGTGTCATGGACCTGGTGGTTGTCCTTTTTTATCTGGTCAAGATTTTCATGATGCTGGATGTGATAGTGGCAACACCTATGCTTCTCTTAGTAAGGGTGGGTTCAATATATCCCACAGGCTGAGTGGAGCTAGTGAGAAAAGTAAGGGTGAATTTATGAGCTAACAGAAGACTTGAAGTTGGCACAAGGCAATTTCAGTTAAAAAAAAAATCAAAAGTTTATCTGCACTGAAATCAGGACTTGCTAAATGAACAGCACTCAAAAGGTCACCAAGGCACTGAAAAAACAATTATGCATGCTTTTTTGATAAGTGGTACCAGGTACACTCAACCAAAAGGCATTTGACTAACCATAGGAAAGACAAATCAGAGAGGTGCCAGGCACCTCTCTGATCAACTTGTGTGGCCAATATGCAATCGCCCAAGAATTATTTATGAAAGCCAACATCGATGAGCAGTCAACCAAGAATTCAGCTGTGTGGCTTAATAACAGCTTCTTCTTCTCCATGAGCAGGCTCAACTTACATGTAGATAAGCAGAAATAAGGAGCATAGGGTTCATTGTGAATGGTAAATGCATTGAGAAGTGCTTAATTAAGGCTCCATATATTGTGGCCACCCCAATGGAGCTGAAGCCCAGGAAGCTCTTTACATACATAAGGAACTTACTTTGATGCTTTGTGGCTTTTTTTTTTCACTTTCTCCCATTTCTATTATTGTACATGTAGCTTATCTACATTAGTTTTATCATCTCATTTGACAGAATGGAAAATATATTACAGAAAAATATATAATTTTGATTGGTTTCATTGCAGAAAGTACCTTAAAATTGAGCTCAAAGTAGTGGAAAGGTTCGATTTTTGCCGATGCTCAAAAGTAAACAAATGATGTCACCATCCAATACATATCCAACTGGCAGGTCTAATATGCAGTCACAAATGGGTTGACATTATTTATACAATTACGTATTACAATACAGTGGATCCTCGGTTATCAGCCGTTCCGGATATCAGCCAACTCGGTTATCGCCTGGTTTTTTGGCCGAAATTTTATTCCGGTTATCGGCTGTTATTTCGCTTATCGACTGTATTGGACATGTCCAACCGCCTGCCCGTCAGCTGCTCGCATGTTCATGAGTCAATCTGGCTGTGTCTCTGGGCGAGTGAGGAAACTTCTGCTCACTCATTCAAATATATCGCTATAATCCATTGTTTTTTTGTGGTTATTGATTGAGTGCAATTGCAAAATAAGCAACCATGGGCCCAAAGAAAGTTCCTAGTAAAGTTCCTTTGGTAAAGAAAGTGAGAAACATGATGGAATTTAAGAAAGAAGTTGTTAAAAAGTATGAGAGTAAAGGAGGAAGAGAGAGGGGAGAATGTGCCTTCTGCAGAGATTCAGTGATTCTACGATATGTACGATACTAAAGCAGCAGGAGTCGATAAAGGCTATTGGGCTAGCCAGCGATAAAGTGTAGCAAGTAAGTAAAGCAATTAAGTGATAGAAATATGACAACACGAAACTGACTCCTCCAATGTTTTTGGAGGTATATAGGGCCAATGACAATATACGCTGCCCTGCATATCTTCCACCACCCTAAACCAATGCCAGCATCTCTTCCAAGGTAAGTGTAAATATTTCTTATTTATAAATTACGTACATTGTTTGTGTGAATAGTGGTGGCGGCCTCTGCTGCCACCTCCACTACCACTAATATGTATGGCTTGTGCTCTCAGTGGCCCTTATAAACCCAACAGCAACACCCCCACCACTCCACATACGTAATGATATATGTTATTCATTCTAGAGTATATATCATGTTTCTATCTAATTAATATTGTTTATTACGTCATATTAGATGAATTGTGATAGATAAATAATCCGTAGAGTTGATAATAGCGTCACGTTTAAGCATTTTGTCCTGTCTCCAAACAAACTCGCCTCCCTCTCCACTCCTCACCGTTTTGCATACGCCAACAAGAGTCTTCAAAAAGGTAAAAGTGATTCAAATGTTCATTTATCCATTTAGTCATTTTACTTAGTTCTCATTGTTTTGTGTATGTAAAACTATAGTTAATCTTTTAAAAATGCATTGTTTTGTTAATTTTTTCGAGTGTCTGAAACGGATTAATTGCATTTACATTAATTCTTATGAGAAATATTATTTCGGTTTATGGCCGACCTTCTGGAACAGATTATGACCGATAACCGAGGGTTCACCATACAGTAGTCTGCATAACAGTAAATCTTCTATTTTTTGTGTGAATAAAAATTAAAAAATGAAAAGCAAGTGTAATATAAGAGAGGCCTGGAGATGTGACTAATGAACAGAGAAAATGTTATTTTAGTGCTAGGAATGTCTGCATTGTTTATTCTGGACCCTATTTTGAAATTGGCATCTCTTGAAATTTGCGTGAAATTGGCCAATTACCGATTTCTGACCACTTTACTGGGTAGTTGAAATAGGTAAATAGGAGGTTTCTTGTACTCAGTCAACAGAATAGAAGGAATACTAGCAAAATAGCTATGAGTTTGGAAGACTGGGAACAACAGAATGGGCCAAAACTAGGGCGTAAACTAGGTGAAATCGCTGATGTGTAAATATCGCCATTGGGTTAAGTGTATTCTAACCTAACCACTCTGTATTCCGGCAAAATCACTAATCCAGCACCCTACAGGTCCCGATGATGACAGATTAGTGATGGTCAACCTGCATTATTATTATCTGGATATCTTTATTCTGGAAATGCTTTGCCAGCCAGTGGCTTCTTCAGTTCCATGCAGAGTAAGGTGGAAGATAAGGCAGAGATTAAGGTAATCAGTCCCTCAGCATGGAGTCAGTGTATTCAGTCCATCAATCTTGATGAAAGTGAAGCATATCTACAGAGATGGGGCTTATATACTTCAGACAGATGAAGTGAACAGCAGTAGGCAGTCACCAATGGAAAATCCCACTAGTGGAAGCAGGTCATGTCTATAGGTTAGGCAAATATTGAAGAATTTCCATCATCAAGATCCCAAGATGTTGCTGTGTCTTGACAGAATTTGAATAAATAATTTAGAAAAAACCAACATGTTGATAAATGAGACACTTGTCTAACATTTGGGTATCTATTTTCTGGAAACATTTTGCCAGTCAGTGCCAAACCAAATGTTGTACAAGTGTCTCATTTAACAACATGTCAGTTTTGTAAACCATTTATTTAACCCGTAAATGGTCCAAACGTATATATATGTTCACTACCCCAGTGCCCTGAATATTTTGAAAAATAAAAAAGTCGTCTTTTTTTTTTTTTTTTTTTTTTTTTTTAAGAAAATACAGAGCACATTTTTCTAAGTGTTATAGGATAAAAAAAAATTAGGGTCAGTACTTACAGAGATATGAGGCCGAGAACTTGGCACTGGATGCTCACGTGACGGCCACTTGCAGAAGTGTTACCGATATACCTTTTTTTCTATTTTTCATATTATTTTATATAATCTTTGTTCTGATAATTACAATTTATAGTAGTTCTTGTCATTTCATAACCAATCTTTGTTCTGACACTAGTATTAGGTACTCAAATTGTCACAAACACACTGGCAGGTGGACATTTACACCTGCCTTGGCCATTTACTGTTGCCTTGGAATATATACAAAGTATTTATAGGTCTCAGCAATGTTTTGGATATGTGGAAGTACAGTGGACCCCCGCATAACGATTACCTCCAAATGTGACCAATTATGTAAGTGTATTTATGTAAGTGCATTTGTACGTGTATGTTTGGGGGTCTGAAATGGACTAATCTACTTCACAATATTTCTTATGGAAACAAATTCGGTCAGTACTGGCACCTGAACATACTTCTGGAGTGAAAAAATATCGTTAACCGGGGGTCCACTGTATATAATAATAATAATAATAAAAAGAAGAAGAATACATAATAAGTTCCCTTGAAGCATGTAAAACAAGCCTCAGTCCACCCCTGACAGTGAAGTGATGAGATAACATTAGATAAGAGTTTACATTTGACGAGTGTCAGCCCTCGCTTTGTTTTCGCTGGTACACAAACATGTCTGTCTGTCAAGCTCCCTGTCTGTCTCAATGAGAGCCGCAAGACTGCGTCATCATGTTTACTTATATCTTCAAGCAGAGTATAGCACTTTGTCTGGATTTTTTGTGTTATCCTAGATAATTTACACTATGTATACTTGTATTTATGTGTACCTGTGAGACAGAGATAGACAGAGACATATAGAAAGAGACAGACAAAGATAGACAGAGAGACAGACATAGATAGATATAGACACAGACAAACAAACGGAGCCAGGCCACCAGCAGCCAGCCAGCCATGCAGTTGGTCAGCCAGTTGACCAGCCAGGTGGCCAGCCAGCGAACCAGTCAGCCAGCCTGCTGAACAAGTATTAAGTTCTAGAATTGTTTCTCTTTACTTAGGGCATAGGTTATAAGACATTCTGAAAGGGCGTTGCACAAATGTTGCACATGGGTTATTATCGAGGTTTTTTGATATTTCCTCGACCACTTATGGCCACATCCACCTCAAAGCCACTAAACTCGGGGTCAACATCACTTTCCTCTTAAAATGGGAGAGTTAATACTACATGAAATCAGTGACTCCCAGGTGTTTGCTGTAGCTGGCACTCATTTGAACTGGTGCTCCAACAAGGTACTAAGTGGTCCCAGATTTTTTTAATACAGTGCACACTGAGTGTTATGACCCATTCTATGCTGACAAGGCATCTCAGACCAATCATGCCATATTTGAAGGCAGGAAAAATAAAATGTTTATATACGTTTGGGGCACTAGTGGTAAGAACATATATATACGTTCGGATCGTTTACGGGTTAAACAGATCTAGCATTGACAGTGTGTGACCTTCTTTCATTCATATTGCTTCTGTAATGTGACCATGCATAAAATAATCAGTCATTACACTGAAGAATTTTATTGACCATCTAATCATAATCTAATAAAGTGTACTACAAGCCATATTTGTGTAATTTGCACTTACCATAAACTCTTGCTTGGAAAGTACATATCATATGCCATGGATAATCATACATGTACCATAATGTAAATGAGCACACATTAAAATTTCTTACCCTTGACCAGGAATCCACTCTCCAGAGTTAGGGTATACAACTCTGGGAAGTATAGAAGGTGGAGGAAGACTCAAGTTTGCCTTGCTCAAGAGCGAGGTAATGTACTGTGGTGGACTACAGTTTATGCCAACTGCTACCAGCTGATCTCCTGCTATTGCACAGCATTTCTTGACAGCTTCATCAAAACTGTCTCCATAGTTAGTGCTTCTCCCATCCTAACATAAAGAAAAATTAGTGAATATTAGTTGAAACACGTAAGAGAAAAAAAAAATCAATTGGATATGCTCTCAAGAGAGCTTTTAGAAATGACATTTTAGCTTTCTTTTTTAGCTGTATCACTTATATGAGCTTAGTGTTTTTTAATATAATAATAATTAGCTCTTCTTCTCCTTTCAACACACCGGCCGTATCTCACCGAGGCAGGGTGGCCCAAAAGGAAAAACGAAAGTTCCTCCTTTTACATTTAGTAATATATACAGGAGAAGGGGGTTACTAGCCCCTTGCCCCCGGCATTTTAGTTGCCTCTTACAACACGCATGGCTTACGGAGGAAGAATTCTGTTCTACTTCCCCATGGAGAATTAGCTCTTATAAGTGGGTAATTACTTAGGTTGCAGATGATTATTCAGAGCTGGCAACATTAAAAGTAACAAAACATCACATTGCAAGCAAAGCTTAATGGAAATTACAGTTTTTGTCTTACACACAATGACTTACCAGTAGCTTGCATTTATTGTATTACCAGAAGCCTAAGTTCCCTTTATAATAATAATAATAACAATCTTTATGTCTACAAGTACCTGTACAACATAAACAGACCTAGCTGACATCAGTGACATACTATACAGAAAGCCCCTTGTTACCCAGAGCATTTCGGGCAAATCAGGTTAATCTTATCCCCAGGATGTGACCCACATCATTCGGCTAACACCCAGGTACCTATTTACTGCTAGGTGAACAGGGACAGCAGGTGTCTTAAGGAAACATGTCCTAATGTTTCCACCCATACTGTGTATCAAACCATGGACCTCAGTGTGTGAGCTGAGTGTGCTAGCAACCCAGGTATGGGTAGCTCCAAATCTGTAGAGGTCATAGAGTGCCTGGGGAAATGGAAGAAAATTAGCTTCAAGAAATGGAAGAGTAGGTCCAATTCCTTGGATCAACAGCCCCTCATCAGCCCCTATATTGTTTAGCATAAATAACAAATAGTACAGAAACTAGTTTGACTGGGATGGAACATTACATTGAGATACAAAAATCTTGGAGTGATCATCTCCACAAAGTTCTCAAGCCATCAACTGGAACTGCCTAGAAGAACAGACCAAGGACAGTGCCATAATTTGCATATTTATATGCATACTGAAGAAACTCAGAAGGAAGTTTCCTAGTTACTTTTAAGGAATGAATAACATTCTTAAAGGCAAGAACACTGACTCAATTATAGGTGACAACAGTATATGTTGAAATGTAACTCGTAATTTCTCCTCATAAAATGCTAGGACATTTAACCATGGATAATGAAATACTATTGCAATGGCTGCAGAATAACTGTATAAATTATATAGTATATAAAATAATGCAGCAGAAATCAGTGATGTGTAAGAGTAATACTTTTCCAAACCTGCAAATAAGTTCCTATTCTAATACATTCTTATTGAAAAAAGCCAGCTTATTTTTTTTCAAGGAATGCAAGTCACAAAATATATATGAAAAATAATTTGTTTCTTTACAGGCATAATTGGCTACCCAATATAGAGAATTAGCCTGCACAGAAACCCTATATAGTTCCTAACCCCTCAAGGAAGGTTCCTTGATGTTGGTGAGGGGCTCTTGATTTAGGGAATTGGATCTGTGCTCCAGTTCCCCGAATTAAGCCTGAATGTCTTCCACATCCCCCCCTCCCGGCGCTGTATAATCATCCGGGTTTAGCGCTTCCCCCTTGATTATAATAATAATAATAATCCTAAGCATGTAATTCTCAGCCATTACAGGTGAAAAATTACCCATCAATGGTAGTTCCATATACGTAAGTTAGGTTTAAGCTTGCCTGAAATGTTCTGCATAAATATGGGGCTTTCCATGTGAGATGTAATGTCATCCAATTCTGTACAAATGATGCATCATGTAGAAACAAATTGATTGATATATTTTATCATATGTTTTGTTGTCAGTTGTTTCTTGACCAAAAGTATTTCTTTATAATACAGTATATAATAATTTGGTGTGTGTGTGGTGAGTTCATATTTTTTGGTAAAAATATGACAAGAAATTAAAGTTTTGTTATATTTCTTTTTGAATTTAGTAATGAGAGAATTGTTTCAGGTGTTCAAATTGCACATCCTTCCATGGAAGACAGCTAGTGTTAAAAAAAAAAAACTATTGTGAGGTAGCATGACTCACGAAATCGTAACGACGCGATTGCAAACAAACCATACCACGGGCTAGCCCAGTGGCTAACGCAACGGTCTGGAGTTTTGAGACTCTCTGACTGCGGGTTCAAATCCCACCCGTGGTTTGGTTTATTGTGAGGTAGCATCAAAGTACAGTGTTACCTCGATTTATGAACTTAATTCATTCCAGAAGGCTGTTTGAGTGCCAATACCGAACGAATTGGTTCCCATAAGAAATAATGTAAATTAGATTAGTCCATTTCAGACCCCCAAAAATACACTTACAAAAGCACTTACAAAAATACACTTACATAATTGTTCGAGTTGGGAGCTGTTCGAAACTCAAAGTACCACTGTACCTCCTTTGAGGGGTAGATTCTTCCATACTCATGGATCTCTAGGAATGTAACCCCTCCAAACTTGGAGGGGTTACTGTAATCTTACTGTAATCATCTTTTTTATTGGCTACCAGTACTATCAGCCACATGGTTATTACTGAGCATTATCAGTATTGAAAGCTGACTGGTATGAGTTGTACATTAGTTTCATGCTGAAATGTACACGAGCTCTGAATACATATCACTTAGAAAATGTTTCAAGAAAAACTAGAGTTCTGAACAGAAAACAATTTTACACTTCAGATAATCCAATAACTCTGATATGCCTTGGAAATTTGCAATTCAAGCTGGGATTGATGGGATAAAGATAGAAATGTTAAAAGCAGGTGGGAATATAGCTTTGGAGTGGTTGATGCTATTATTTAATAAATGTATGGAAGAGGGTAAGATACTTAGGGATTGGCAGAAAGTGTGTATAGTCCCTTTGTATAAAGGCAAAGGAGACAAAAGAGAATGCAAAAATTATAGGGGAATAAGTCTGTTGAGTACACCTGATAAAGTGTATGGTAGAGTTATTATTGAAAGAATTAAGAATAAGACAGAGATTAGGACAGCAGATGAACAAGGAGACTTTAGGAAAGGTAGGGGGTGTGTAGACCAAGTGCTTACAGTGAAACATATAGGTGAACAGTATTTAGATAAGGGTAAAGAGGTTTTTGTGGCATTTATGGATTTGGAAAAGATGTATAACAGGGTGGATAGGGGGGCAATGTGGCAGATGTTGCAGGTGTATGGTATAGGAGGTAGGTTACTGAAAGCAGTGAAGAGTTTTTACGAGGATAGTGAGGCTCAGGTTAGAGTATGTAGGAGAGAGGGAGATTATTTCCCAGTAAAAGTAGACCTTAGACAATGTTGTGTAATGTCACCATGGTTGTTCAATATATTTATAGATGGGGTTGCAAGAGAAGTGAATGTGCAGGTCTTGGCAAGAGGTGTAGGGTTAAAAGATAAAGAATCTACACAAAGTGGGAGTTGTCACAGTTGCTCTTTGCTGATGACACTGTGCTTTTGGGAGACTCTGAAGAGAAGTTGCAGAGGTTGGTGGATGAGTTCAGTAGGGTATGTAAAAGAAGAAAATTAAAAGTGAATATAGGAAAGAATAAGGTGATGAAACTAACAAAAAGATTAGGTGACAAAAGACTGGATATCAGATTGGAGGGTGAGAGTATGGAGAAAGTGATTTTTTTTTTTTTTTATTTTATCACACTGGCCGATTCCCACCAAGGCAGGGTGGCCCGAAAAAGAAAGACTTTCACCATCATTCACTCCATCACTGTCTTGCCAGAAGGGTGCTTTACAGTTTTTAAACTGCAACATTAACACCCCTCCAGAGTGTAGGCACTGTATTTCCCATCTCCAGGACTCAAGTCCGGCCTGCCGGTTTCCCTGAATCCCTTCATAAATGTTACTTTGCTCACACTCCAACAGCACGTCAAGTATTAAAAACCATTTGTCTCCATTCACTCCTATCAAACACATTCACGCATGCCTGCTGGAAGTCCAAGCCCCTCGCACACAAAACCTCCTTTACCCCCTCCCTCCAACCTTTCCTAGGCCGACCCCTACCCCGCCTTCCTTCCACTACAGACTGATAAACTCTTGAAGTCACTCTGCTTCGCTCCATTCTCTCTACATGTCCAAACCACCTCAACAACCCTTCCTCAGCCCTCTGGACAACAGTTTTGGTAATCCCGCACCTCCTCCTAACTTCCAAACTAGGAATTCTCTGCATTATATTCACACCACACACATTGCCCTCAGACATGACATCTCCACTGCTTCCAGCCTTCTCCTCGCTGCAACATTCATCACCCATGCTTCACACCCATATAAGAGCATTGGTAAAACTATACTCTCATACATTCCCCTCTTTGCCTCCAAGGACAAAGTTCTTTGTCTCCACAGACTCCTAAGTGCACCACTCACCCTTTTCCCCTCATCAATTCTATGATTCACCTCATCTTTCATAGACCCATCTGCTGACACGTCCACTCCCAAATATCTGAATACATTCACCTCCTCCATACTCCCCTCCCTCCAATCTGATATCCAATCTTTCATTCACCTAATCTTTTTGTTATCCTCCTAACCTTACTCTTTCCTGTATTCACTTTTAATTTTCTTCTTTTGCACACCCTACCAAATTCATCCACCAATCTCTGCAACTTCTCTTCAGAATCTCCCAAGAGCACAGTGTCCCCAGCAAAGAGCAACTGTGACAACTCCCACTTTATGTGTGATTCTTTATCTTTAACTCCATGCCTCTTGCCAAGACCCTCGCATTTACTTCTCTTACAACCCCATCTATAAATATATTAAACAACCACGGTGACATCACACATCCTTGTCTAAGGCCTACTTTTACTGGGAAATAATTTCCCTCTTTCCTACATACTCTAACTTGAGCCTCACTATCCTCGTAAAAACT